CAGACCCCATCCCGGAATCACCTCCCAGGAGCGGATCAGGATCTTCAGGGTCCTCCCGATGTCCTTCTCCAGCTCCGCCTCCGCCACTCCCTACGGAAAACCGGGAATCGCCGCCGATCAGCCCAACCCCCCCCCCGGGGGGCCGATCCCCAAAAAAACCCCAAAAACCGGGATAACAAATCCCAGGAATTCCCACCGGCTCCTGGAAGTAGAGCTGGTACTCGAAGGCGGGACGGGATTCCAGCTTTTCCAGGATATCCACGTTGGGATCGGCCGGGCGGTACGGGGTGTTCAGAGACGCCACAGCCCTGGGAATTCCAGAAAAATGGAAAAAATTCCGGGATCGGATCCCCGGGTTTGGGATCATGGCCAGGGGGGATGGGGAATGCCGGGATATTCCCGGAATTTGGGATGCTGGGATACTCCCGGAATTCTGGAACACCAGGATATTCCTGGGAATTGGGGAACATAGAGATATTCCCAGAATTCAGGAATGCTGGGATATTCCCAGGATTTGGGAACGCCAGGATATTCCTGGAATTGGGGAATGCCAGGATATTCCCAGAATTCTGGAACACCAGGATAGTCCCAGAATTTAGGAATGCCGGGATATTTCCAGGGTTTGGGGAATGCTGGGATATTCACGGRGTTTGGGAACACTGGAATATTCCCATAATTGGGGAATGCAGAGATATTCCAAGAATTGGGAACACCAGGATATTCCTGGGGTTTGGGAGTTCTGGGATAGTCCCAGAATTGGGAAATGCCTGGAAATATTGGGAAATTCCGGGATATTCACCGCAGCCGCTCCGGATAAAAGAGCGCCACGTTCCAGGCCACGGCGCCGCCCCAATCGTGTCCCACCAGGACCACCTGCGGGATTCCCTGCGGAAACGGAAAATCGGGAATGGCCCCGCTGAATTCCCGAATCCCACAAAACCGGCCCGGACAGGAAAAAAAAAGTCAGGAATAATGACATTTCCCATTTTTCCCATTTTTCCCGGCTTTTTTTCTGCCTGTCTTTTCCTGATTTTTTCTTCTCTCTCCCATTTTTAAGGATTTTTTCCTCCTTTTCCTGCTTTGATTTTCTTCTTTTTTTCCCCATTTTTTCCACCTTCTCCCCCCATTTTCCATCTTTTCTCCTTTTTTTCCATCTTTTCCATCTTTTCTTCCATATTTTCCACCTTCTTTTCCACCTTTTTGTTCTTTTTCCCTCCTTTTTTCCTCCCTTTCCCCCCTTTTTTCCACCTTTTCCATAATTTTTCCCTCCTTTTCCACCCTTTTTCCCACCTTTTCCATAATCTTTCCCCACCTTTTCCACCCTTTTTCCTCTTCCCGCCCCCCACCATTTTTGCTCCTTTTCTCCTCCTTTTTTCCCTCATTTTCCCCCATTTTTCCAGGATTTTTTCCTCCTTTCCCCCCTTTCTTTTCCTTCTTTTTTTGTTTTTTCCTCCTCATTTCCCCTCATTTCCCCCTGTTTCCCCCTTTTTTCCACCTTCTCCCCCCAATTTTCCTCCTTTTCCACCCTTTTCCCTCCTTTTTCACCCTTTTTTCCTCCTTTTCCACCCTTTTTTCCTCTCCCCCCACCCACCATTTTTGCTCCTTTTTTCCCCTCATTCTCCTCCATTTTCCCAGGATTTTTTTCCTCCTTCCCCTCCTTTTTTTTCTC